AGATTTAATGCAATCCCAATCAAAATACCAATAGTATACCTGACAGAATAAGAGAAAAATTCCTAAAATTTATTTGGAACCACAAGAGACCTAGAAGAGCAAAAACAATTCTGGGCAACAAAGGCAAGGCAGGGGGCATCACGATCCCTGACTTGAAATTATACTAAAAAGCTACTATGATAAAAACAGCATGGTACTGGCAAGAAAACCAGTAACAACGACAACAACAACAAAAAAAAAAACAGACCCAAGGATCAATGGAACAGATTAGAAGATGCAAAAACAACTCCAGACATACTCAGCCACCCTCTATCTTGACAAAGGAGCCAAACACCTTCACGACAAGAAAGACAGCCTCTTTAATAAGTGGTGCTGGAAAAACTGGCTTTGCACATGCCAAAGATTAAAACTAGACCCGTATCTTTCACCACGCAGCAAGCTAAAACTGAAATAGATCAAAGATCTAAATATTAAAACAGAAACACTAAATCTGCTGGAAGACAAAACAGGTAAAATTCTTGAAGACACTGTTATAAGCAAGATTTTATAAACAAAACCCTACTCCACAAGAAATATCACAAAGAATCAACAACTGGATCTCATCTTATTAAAAAGCTTTTGCAACAGAGTGAAAAGACATGAGGTCATGAGTTCAATTTCTGGTACCAAAAAAAAAAAATCAGAGTGAAAAGATAACCCACAGTATAGGAAGAAATTTTTGCTAGCTGTTCTCAGAGAAAGGACTAATATCAAGAATATGTGAAGAACTCAAAACACTTAGACACCCCCAAATTTAAAGACAGAATCCAAAAATGGGCTTCTGAAATGAACAGACACTTCTCAGATGAAGAGTAAAAATGGCAAAGAAATATATGAGAAAATATTCAACATCATTGGTCATTCAAGAGATGCAAATTAAAACAACACTGAGATTCCATTTCACTCCAGAAGGAATGGCTATTATCAAGAAATCAACCAATAATGAATGCTGGTGGGGTTGTGAGGGGAAAGAAACCCTTCTCCACTATTGGTAGAAGTGTGAACTAGTGCAACCACTGTGGACGTCAGTGTCGAGATTCCTCAAAAAACTAGGATTGGGGCCAGGGACACAGCTCAGCAGCACAGCGCCTGCCTGGCAAGTGCAGAGTTCTGAGTTCAATTCCTAGTACCAAAAAAAAGAAAACCTAGGATTGGAGGTCCCATTGGACCCAGCTATTTCCCTTCTTGGTATCTTCCTGAAAGACTTAAAAGCATCATACCACAGAGATACACACACATCCATGTTTATACTGGCACAGTTTGTAAGAGCTAAATCTTGGAAACAGCCCAAATGCCCTTCAACCAATGAATGGATAAAGAAAATGTGGGTTTTTTTTTATACACTGAAGTACTACTCAGCCACAAAGAAAGATAAGCTTGAGACATTTCTAGCTAAATGGATCCAGCTTGGGACTATACTCTTAAGTGAAATAAATCAGATAAACATGTAAATACCATATTGTTTCTCTGGTGTGAGAAATCCAAAGTGTAAATAAGGACCAAAATGTATAGTAGATACTGGGAAATGGGAAGAAAATGTTCAAATGAGAAGGGGAAAAAGGGAGGGGGGAGGGAGAAAGGAAAGTGGGCACAAGAAAAAAAATAATAGAAGGGAAAAATGGAAACAAAGCTTTTGTAAATAAGCAGGGGAAGAAGGGTTGGAAGGAGGGGAGGGGAATGAAGAAAAAAGATACATCATGTACAGGTACAAATTCCTTACAATGAATGTGATCATTATGTATATAAAGTGTACCGATAAAATTTTTAAAACACACACTAAAAAGAACTGAAACTATAAATCTCTTAGAATAAAACTAAATTTTCATGACCTTAGATTAGGCAATAGCTTCTTGCATGTGTCACCAAAGACAACCAAGGAAAAAAATTAAACATCACAGTTGAAAACATTTGTGAAGGCCAGGGATATAGCTCAGTAGCACAACACCTGCCTGGCCAAGGACAAGGTCCTGAGTTCAATTTGCAGTACCAAAAACAAAAACAAAAAGATCTGTGATTCCAAAATGAAGAAAATGAAGCCGAGTATGGTGGTGCACACCTATAATCCCAGCACTGGGGAGGCTGAGGCAGAAGGATCACTATGAATTGGAGGCCAGCCTGGGCTGCACAGTGAGTTCACAGCCAGCCTGAACCATATAATGAGAAGCTATCTCAAAAAGAAAGAAAGTGAAAAGATGCCAGGTGTGGTGACACAGGTCTGTAATCTCAGCATTCAGGAGGCTGAGGCAGGATGACCACTGAGTGTTCAAGGCCAGTCTGAACTACAAACCGAGACCCCCTCTCAAAAAAAAAGTGAAAAGATAATCACGGAATGAAAGAAAGCATTTGTAAATCATAGATCTGATAAGCTATTATCCAAAATATACCATCTCACAACTCAACAACAACACAAATTTTTAACTGCGTGAAAGATCTAAATAAATATTTCCCTAAAGAATATATATAAATGTCCAAGGACCTTCAACATCATTATTCATTTGGTAAATGCAAAGCAAAACCACAGTAAGCTGGGTTTGGTGGCACACACCTGTAATCCCACCTGTAACCCAGACTTGGGAGCGATGAGGCAGGATGACTGCAATTTCAAGGAGACCTGGACAACTCTGAGACACTGTTGGAAAGGAAAAAAAGACTTTCACACATCATTAGATGGTGAGAATCAAACCCAACAAGCAGCAGTGGTGGGAAAGCAGAGAAACCGGAACCCTCACACACGCTAGTGGGAACGGACAACGAGGCAGAGTTAGGACAAGCTTGGCTTAGAAGGTTCATCACAGGTGCCACACGGCCCAGTGCTGGAGTCTGGGTGCTGAGTGTCCTGCCAAGGCCGGAGGGCAAAGGCTTGGTCCATCGGGTCATCACTGCACGCGTCCAAAAAAGCCTCAATAAAATAAATAGAGTGGGATGGAGCTCAGTGAAAAGCCTCTGATCCAATTCCCAGTACCGCAAAATAAGAGGGGAGGGGGGCGCCCTACGACAAACTTCATATTAAGTCTGTCTTACCACACACACAAACCCAGGCACACTAAAGACATGTAACAAATTTCCATAAAGGACATTATGGGGCGGG